GAGCCCAGAAAGAGGAGCAGCAGCACTTGAGACTCCGGCGCCGCCACAGCAGCAACGGGAGGCGGGGAACGAAGCCCGCCATCGAGCCCACGGCGGCTGCAGGGCTTCCTTGCCGCTCCGAGCAAGAGAGGGCCGCACCTCAGTCGCTCCGGCGACGTTGCCCCATGAAGCGCGGCCCGCCCAAACAGGGGGCCTGACCCGGCCCGTCCTGCCGCCTCCTGATAAGGCTCCACGCCAAGGCGTCCTCCCGCCCTACCCGGCTGCGGGCGGCCTGATCCACCCGAAGGGCTCGGTCCCCGGCAGTGCCCTCTGCCGTTCGCCTCAGTCTGTGCGGCGCAGCCGGAGAGCCGACGACTTGCGAGCTTGCAAGAGTGATACAGTAGTAAGGCTAGCACTTCTTAGGGCTCGCTATTATCCCTAACATTCAAGACCTAACAAAACAGTCTCTCGCGTTGTGGAACCAACAATTACCGTTAAGGACCTCAGTAAAAACAAAAGCATGTGTAACGTAGCCATTTTGGTCTTCAAGAAAAATCAGGCGATAAACTAAACAAGCAATTCCTAACGTGAGATAAGGAGTAGAAATAGGGACCGTCACAAATAAAGCTTCATAGCTGCTTTTCAAGAAGGCCATGCAACCAATCCTTTCCACTCCTGTCCCCAAAGTATGACAAGAATAGTAACCATTACTGTAAGTTCCAACTTTGGTTTCCCTCTTTCCGCCCACCAGTTTGCTGCGGTAAAGTGGCATACCCCTTCACGGATTGCTGCTTTGCCATGGCGAAGGGGCTTGAGTAACTCAGAGAAGCTATGAGCCATGCCGTTCAGGGCCACCCAAGATGGACAGGTCATAGTGGAGAGTTCTGACTAAACGCAATCCACCTGGAGCAGGAATTGGCAAGCCACTCTAGTATCTTTGCCAAGAAAACTCCATGGACAGAAACAAAAAGCTAAAAGATATGACCCTGGAAGATGAGCCCCTCAGGTCGGAAGGTGTCCAACATGCTACTGAGGAAGCTACAAGGACAAGTAGCTCCAGAGCTAATGAAGTGGTTGGGCCAAAGCCGAAAGGGCAATCAGCTGTGGACATGCCTGGAAGTGAAAGGAAAGTCCGATGCTGCAAAGAAAAATACTGCATAGGAACCTGGAATGAAAGATCTATGAACCTTGGGAAGCTGGATGTGGTCAAACAGGCGATGGCAAGAATAAACACTGACATCCTGGCCGTCAGTGAACTAGAATGAATGGGAATGGGCTAATTTCTATTCAGATGATTATCATATTTACTATTGTAGGCAAGAATCCCATAAAAGGAATGGAGTGGCCCTCATAGTCAACAAAAGAGTGGGAAAAGCTGTACTGGGATACAAAAATGATAGAATGATTTCAATACGAATCCAAGGCAGACCTTTCAATATCACAGTAATCCAAGTTTATGCACCAATCACCAATGCTGAAAAGGCTGAAATTGATCAGTTCTATGACGACTTACAACACCTTCTAGAACTGACACCAAAGAAAGATGGAATGCTAAAGTAGGGAGTCAAGAGTTAAAAGGAACAATAGTTTGGCCTTGGAGTTTAAAACGAAGCAGGGCAAAGGCTAATAGAGTTTTGTCAAGAGAACAAGCTGGTCATCACAAACACTCTTTTCCAACAACACAAGAAGCGACTCCACACATGGACATCACCAGATGGGCAATACCGAAATCAGATTGATTATGTTCTCTGCAGCCAATGA